TAATAAACCCTTAAGTAGGCCATATGCGGAGTTTCGGCTCCCTAATAAAGCTGCCTTCTAGGGTCCTTTGTAAGTCTGGTTTCAGCTTCAGGTGTCTCTTGTTGGTTGGTAAAAAAAAAAATATGATAGATAGGAAAATGGTTGGAGAAATCTGTAATAAAAATACCTGGTTCAAAACAAGTATCTAAAATATTATTAGTTAAAATATTATCAATTGCGGACGAAGTAGTTTTTGTAATACGTAGCCTTAAAAATAGTAGGTATATAATGTTAAATTCAAGTAATAAATTAAAAAAGTTTTTTTGTATTTACAAACTTTTCATAACACATTGCATCCAAGTTAAAATCACCAACTAAAAAAATATGCTTATTCTGAATCAGTGTTGATAAACGGCGTAAATCTTCTTGCCTCCACTTTTTTTCCGCAGCAGACGGCTGCTGCCTCCCGATCAATTTTTAGCGGCAAAATGTTCTTTCTTCCGCCTCCAGTGGCTTCCGCTTTTCTATTGGCGGCCGCAGCCGGAGTTCTTTTTTGGAGGCAAAAGGTTTTTGGGGGCTGACACCAATAGAGTGACTGAAGCCAATGGTGGCCGCCTCTAAAAGAAATTTTGGAGGCAAAGCCATTTGGAGGCAAAGCCATTTAGAGGTCGCCTCCAATGGCTTCTGCCTCCTAATTGGCTGCAGCCGTCAAATTGGAGGCGGAAATATTTGCCTTCCGCCGGCGGATGTGATGAAAAAGAATTGCTCGTTTGCTTTAAAGCAATTAAATATTAACTAAAAACAAATGTTAAATACTTGACATCAAAGTTTTACTTTATATTATTTATTGACTATTTATAAAATTTTTAAAAAAAAATTATAATTTTGTTTATCTACTATTATCGAATAAATTAGTAATTTTTATTTCAAAATAAATATTAAAAATTAAAAATTTTGTTTACATGTCTTAAGGTGAGTTTCCACTAATCCGTTTTTTTTACAGGAACGGAATAGGAAAGGAAAAAATAATCACGAGAGCATGCGCAGTTTTACTTTGGACAAATTAAAACTTATAATACGCATGCCCACGTGATATTTTTTCCCTTTCCTTTCCTGTTCCCGCGAAAAAACGGATGAGTAGAAACTCACCTTTAAGCAAAAAAAAAAAAAGTTTATGACAAGTAATTAAAGTTTTTGATCGTTTGATATTTTTTCGCCCTTATGTCACACTAAAACTTTTTCAACCATAACATTAAATTATTAACTCTAATCATTATATATTGTAAAAATATTTGAAAAACGCAACATCTTTTAACATTATTAAAAATTAATAAAGTTATTTTATTTAACATTATTTATTACAACAAGTTTATTTATTACAACAAGTATTTAACATTTGTTTCTAGGTAATATTTAATTGCTTTAAAGCAAACGAGCAATTATTTTTCATTACATCCACCGGCGAGAGGCAAATATTTCCGCCTCCAATTTGACGGCCGCAGCCAGTTGGGAGGCAGAAGCCATTGGAGGCAGCCTCTAAATGGTTTTGCTTCCAAAATTTCTTCTGGAGGCGGTCACCATTGGCTTCCAACACTCTATTAGCGTCGTCCTCCAAAACATTTTGCCTCCAAAAAAGAACTCCGGCTGCGGCCGCCAATAGAAAAGCGGAAGCCACTGGAGGCGGAAGAAAGAATATTTTGCCGCTAAAAATTGATCGGGAGGCCGCCGTCAACAGCTTCCGTCTCCTTAAAAAGTCGGCCTTTCGGCAGAAAGTTACTTTGCCGCCGGGCGGCATTATTAACTCTGTTCTGAATACTTATTTGCAAAATAATTGTTTTAAGGTTATTATAAAAGTTAATTTGTTTGCGAGTTCGTCGTTCAACTCTAATCTTCTCCGCTCAGCGCGACCTTGGCTCCTATCTTTTGCGTTTTGAAGCCATTCTTCACTACGTCTTCTACTTTAGCAGCTGTAGCTTTATTTTGCCAATGGATTGAGTCGAACTGCATTTAACTTATTTATAAATTTCATAAAGTGCTTTGTTAAATTTAACAAGTATAGTTTTTCGCCATAACTATTGAAAACTGGTTAAACAAGCAATCAATATAAAACAGCCATTGCAGCATAATCTTTTAAATTTATTATATTATAATATATTATTAAGCTGTTGTTATTGCCCACCTGACGGCGTGAGCGAGAACTTGAGCATATTTTTTGAACAAAGTATACTTTGTAAAATACTAGTGAAGTATACTTTGTGAAAATACTAGTATTTTCAAAAAAGGTATTAAAGAAAACATAAAGAACTTCATTATTGGAGACAGGAAGATAACAAATTTAAATGAAGATAACAAAATTAAAAACTTTTACGACTCCTTTTTTGAGGCGGGATCAATTCCTTTAATAAACAGGCCAACTAGAGTAACAAAAAACTCGGCGTCTTTGATTGATAATATTATTACAACAGATATATTCAACAATGATATTCAAACAGGTATCCTAAAATCTGATATAACTGACCATTTTCCAATATTTTTGACAATTAATTCTGAAATTAAAAATAAAATAAATAAAATTAAAATCCGCATTTTTAACCATACAAATATAAAGTTGTTTAAAAACCAACTATCGCTACTGCACTGGAAGCATATTAACTTTAATCACAATGCAGACAAAATTTATGATAACTTTTTTGAAACCTTTTACTCCGTTTATGACGCAAACTAATTAGACTAATTGCTTATAGTTATTTTTCGTTGAAATTTTGCAAGTTCATAGAAAATGCATGAAGCAAACTATTTTAATAAGGATTCTACATTTCTTCAACTACAAATCCATGTGACAGCATCAACCAAATTTTAATGCAAAACTCTCAGCAAAATGATCCATAAAAAATACGGTAGCAATACACAATAGTTATATAAAAATCAAGCCTAACCTTTCTTCTTTTCAAAAGATGTCAAAGTTTATACATGTTTCTAAAAAAAACTACCTCAAAAACCGTTTGCTTAGGGCTAACTAAAAAAGTGGTATACTTGGTAAAACAATAATTAAATTAATTGCTTATTAATTTTTTCATTGAAATTTGACATGTGCATAAAAAATGCATGAAACAAACTATTTAAATAATAAAAAAGCTGACTCTACATTTCTTCGACCACAAATTCATATGAGAATGTCAACATAATATTCAGGAGCAAAATATCCCATAAAAAAGTTAGGAACCATACTTAAAAGTCTTAAAAAAATCAAGACTATCTTTTCTCCTTTCCAAAAAGTATCAATGTGTATATATGTTTCTAGAAAGAAATTCCACAAAACTACGTCTGCCTCACGTCTGTAAAATAAATTGTATAAAAAACATTTCAGGAAACTTGCGATTTGTTTGTGTTGACTATTTTAACTAAAGTAAATCTTTTGTCCACTTCTTCGCATGATACAAACTGTTTTGTTTCTCGTAAAACCACTTCTTCGCGTGATACAAACTGTTTCAATGATATTAACCACTTCATCTCGTGATGCAAACTGTTTCAATATATATTAATACTTTTATCACTAACTTTGATAACAAACAGTTTGTTTTCAAAAGCACGCGGTATTTAAGCAAATTACCATAGCGTCGTTAAAAAAGAAAAAGACCTATAAAATTATAAATAACTGTTTTGTAAATCAAGTAAAAGATTTTTAACAAATGCAAGCAAAATTTTTGAGGTTCACTTCCATATCTGACACTTACAATGCTTAAACATAATAAAAAAATGTAATGAAAACAACGCAACAACAAAATCAACGTAAAAACGTAAACCTAATAAAAAAAAAAGTTCACTTCCATTTTTTATATTTATAATGCTTAAACGTAAAAAAAAAAATTTAAAAAAAACGTAAAAAAAAAACAACTACAAAAAAGTATATGTAAACGTAATAAAAACGTAATAAAAAAAAAAGGTAATAAATTGAGTATTTTGATCAAAAGTTTGCAAAGAATTTTTCTCTTACTGTTTTGACTAAAAATGCAGACCATAAGTAGCATTTTTTTTACCAACTATTTAAACTCTAGCCATAAATACTATGTTCAAATATTTTAATTATGTACATTATTTATTAAGTATAGAAGTAAGTTTTTGCAACAAAAAAATAAAAATAATAATAAAAAAAAAAAATTAAACTAAAAATAATTGAATAATTAATTTAAACAACGGAACAATAACTGATCAGTAGTTCAAAAATTAACAAGAGAAAACTTCACAGGTTAGCCCGAAGTCGGGCCGACGTGTTATATTTGGCTAGAAGATTTACTACGGCAAAACTATGTTTTAAATGTGCATTGTGTTTTTTTGCGCTTTGTTTACTCAATTATTGAATAAGCTAAGCGCAGAAAACCTTAAAGCACATTTAAAACATTGCATTTCCCTACGTTATGCCGACGCATTTTTTCTAGCTGATATAAAACACGTCGGGCCAACATGTTCATGTTATCTGGGTAATTTTTCCGTTACTTTTAGAATACTTTTTTAAGTTCCACAAGTTTACTTGAAATTATTTTTTCGATGTTTTTCATTGTAAGGTCCTTTTTTTTTTTTTTCAATTTTAGTAGTAAAAACACGTTTGTTCGCTTCGAAATTCCCGCCGAAAAAAAAACTTATGCTAACTATTATTAAAAAAATGCTCAAACAAAAGCATTTAATAAAAAAACACTTTTTTTTTATGTAAACCGTTAAAACGTTTTTTTATATACGATAACACGATATCACCTAAAAAATAGTTTTTTACGGTATAATTTACAGTATACTTTACGGTATATTACACGGTAAGCTGTATACTAAATTTTTAGTATACCATAAACTAGCGATCCCTAATTTTTACACCTAACAAATTAATAAAATAGCAAACATTTTATTATTATTAATAAGTAAAAAACTAAAAACAATAGAAAAAAACCTTCTATTACCTTATTGAATAAGTCCCTTCTATTACCTTATTGAGCTTGGTGCCCGGGCTACTACAACTATCGCATCAATTTTATTATTTGTAGACATGACAACTTTATTAAATAATAACACTGGAAAAGTTAAAATTATAATATCAGTCTGATAACAATTTTTTATTACAAAAAATTATTATTAAAAAATGTCACGCAAATAAATGTCATTTTTTTTATTGAATAGTTAATTCAAATAAATTATAATAACTAATTTGATTACTTATTCCATATTTTCGTTTATGTTAAACTGTGATAATTATGTTAACACTTCGTATTTGCGGATATATGGCGCTCATAATTTTTTAAAAACTCGAAGTTTATCAATGAATCTTTTCCATAATGAAATTTTACGGGATGTATAAAGTTTAAATCAGAATTGTAAGATTTTAAAATAACTTCACTCTTTGTTCCAGAGTCCATGTAAAACCCGTTTAGCCTTTCAACCTCTGTAACAAGCAATCTTATTATTGTTGGCACTGCAATTTCTAAAAACACATTTTCTTCTCTAAATACATCTGAAAGTTTAGTAAAGTTTTCAGCCATTTTTCTGGGAACATAATAAATATCCGCTCTTATTCCGTAGCATACGTTTTTGCCAGAAACCATTTTATGCCAATAAGGATCTCTTTTTTGATTAACGTAATTGTTGAGAGAACGAAGTTTTTTTAAAGTTTTAAAACAATTTTTTACTCCCCACGAAGAGTCCCACCAATACCAGTCGCTTATCTTTTTGCTATTAACTTCAAGTAACGGACCTTCCCAAATTTTAGATAAATTTAAGTTTTTTATCGTTAAAAAATTTAAAAACAAATCATCGTTTATCACTAAATATCCAGTATAATTAATAAAAGTACGCATTGTTTGCGCAGCGCACTCTTCATAGGTAAAGTATCCATTAAAAGTTACACTTTTCAATATCCAAGATGGTGCTGTCGAATGTTCTGGTCCACAATGAATAATGTTTGGAAAACCATTACTGTATAAGTTTTGTAGCAGTGGCAAATGACTGTAAAGTGGAGAATTATAAACAATAATAAGTAGCGTAGATTTAAAATGGTCATGAATGCAATTTGAACTACTTGAGTTAAATGGATTTGTTTTAAAGACTGTTTTGTCTACGAATATATTGTTGGTAAATCGAGAAGCTTTGAGTATATTTAGCGGTTCGAAAAACAAAGAAGTAATCATTAAACAAAGCAAAATTAAAAATATTATTAAAATAAAACCGAGCTTTTTCATTCCAGTAACAAAAACTTGATAATATTAAAAGTAATAGTAATATTTTGATTTAAACAATTAAAAAAAAATTGTCAATTTCGAATCATCAACTTTGAATTATCGCTTTGAAGTAGAAAATACACGTGCACTATAACGATTTGAAGCATTAAACCACGTAAGTATTATAAATGGAAGAGCGAGGTTATTGAAATTCCTAAAACCATGTGTTAAATCTTTTGTTCATAATTCAGTAAACAATTTTGCTTCGCTTCTGAAGTATGTAAAAGATAAACTCGTTAGCTCAAATTTTTTCGATAAATTCTCTAAAATCAGTCAAATTTTTTCGATAAAAAGAATTTGAGTTTCGCAGATGCTTATATTAAGTTTTGATATTAAAAAATATATAATAATGAAAATAATAATAATAGTTGCTTTGTGCATCAATCATTATTATTATTTATTTATTTCGTAAATTGTTTATACAATTTACGAAAAAATATTATTTCTATTTACTTATATATACATAGAGTAGATAAGGGTAATATGAGCACCTCGGTAATATGAGGATACTTAAAGATTTCCTAAATGTAAGCAGTGAAGTTAAAGTTGCTTTGTATTTTTTGAATCGATTTTATTTGATGTTAACAGGAATCAGTACAATAAGCGTAAATATATTATATAATTGAAACGTTGTTAAATTTTTTGACGTTGTTAAAATAATATCATCACGCATAAATAAATCTGTGGCGCAAAATTTTAGCGTTAAAATAATAAAATAAATTTTTTCATAAAGAAAAATAGGCTAGCTAAAAATCCAATCCATTTTTGTTTGAAAAACAATGCATAGAAACATTTAGTTTTGACTTTATTTAAAGATGATGTTTCTGTGTGATACGAGCATGCTCAAATTAAAATTTATTTAATGAATTAAAATTTTTCTGTACTTTATAATCAAAAAATTTGAATTTTTATCGTTCAAAGGTTTGAGTTTAATAAAATTGAAAAAATAACGAACTATTTTTTCTTTTTTTTTCTTGCGGAAAACATAGAGTAAAAGTACCGCAAACCGGACACTCTTCACAAAAACCTGAATAACTTTTTTAATATTGAGAATTTGTAGGATTTTTTTTTCTGGAATATTGTTTATTATTATAGCAATTCTGTAGTCTGAAAAAAAAAAAAATTAATTTTAAGTTTCTATAGAAAATAAGATTTTATTTTTTTAAAAAGGGTCCGCTTTTTAGAAAATTGTCCCTAAAAGCGGACAGTTCCAAGTTATATAAAAAAAACATAGATAAATTGATAAAATCATTATTTTTATTTTTATTTTTAAAATATACACATAAAAATATTACAAGCAGAAAAAACAAGATAAAAACATATGCAGAAATAAAAATAAAAAATTTACAAATTAGGTTCTGCAACCTGTCATGCAAAAGAATTCTTCGCCTTTTATTATCTTTTTGGGAGACAAGGTTCACAAAGCTACAAACTGCAAATTAATTTTTCACAAGTTTTCCATAAAACTTGCATTTCTAGCTTTTCATTTTTGAAAAACTTTTGGCACGTTTTGCACTTTTTGTACTTTTTTTTTGATTTCTTGGCAGGAGTTTCTACTTCTGCTGCTGCAAAATCAACAAATGTTCGTTTTAATAGCTTCGTGTCTTCTTCTTCTCTTAACTTGTTTAACCATGCTTCTTCTGTAAAAGGTTGACCAGCCACTGTTCTAACATTTTTGGCTTTTTTTGCAGGATATTTGTAAGCGTTTTGGAATTGAAATTGCTTGAAGAGAGCTCATTTAAGACTGATTTTTACACGAGTCATCAATTCTTCTTGAGAAGTTAAATTTAAAGTTGAAATAGAAGTTTGAGTTGCAGGCAGAATTAAGTTGATTTTGGTATGCGGTAGAATTGAGCTGCGCCTCTTAAGCTTAACTCGCCGTTTTCAATCTTATTCAATACGTTTTTTATTGTCTCCTCAGTGTAAGGCTTCTGGTTTGTTGTTTTTTTGCCATTTTTAAGTTTAGTAAATTCAATTCAGTTACAGATTTTTGAAATTGAAGAAACGATGCACTTTTGTGGTTACTTTGTGTACTTTTGCACTTTTACTTCAACAGTATATGTACAAAAGGACAAAATTAATTAACACAAAAGTATAAAAACTTAAAAAAACCAAATGAAAAAAATTCAGTCAGAGTGGAAAAATAATAAAGTAAATTAACTTTAACATAATAAAAAATTTCAGTTAGATTGAAAAAATAACAAACAGAAAAACTAATAAACATAACGTGTTAATTTATTATAGGTGGTTTTATTGTTTAGGTGGATTTATTATGTCCGGTTTAAGGTGAAAACTGAAGAAAATCTTATTTCTGCCATAACTTTTTAACGGAGTAAGATTGTGAAATTCTAAAACTATTTTTGAAATTAGCAAAAAATTTCCAATAAAATAGCTTCCTTTGTTTTTAAATTACCTTTTTAAATCTTTCATGCTAAGAACCTAATTTCAAAAAAAAGTTAGTTTTTTAGGGTTAGATTTTGTTTGAACTTAAATATCTTATTAAAGCAATCATAAAAATGTCTTTTTTTAAAAAATTTATAATTTTCCACACAGCAAAAAATTAAAAGCTTTTTAAATTTTTTAAATATCTTTATTTTTAGTGGTTTTTTTGATAAGCGTCTGCTTTTACGCACTGTTCGGTTTGTGGTACTTTTCATCTAGTAGTATTGTTTCAGCAAAAAGTTTACAATTTATTTTTAGTAAAAAGTTTAAATTTGATCTTTTAATGATGAGTTTTGTCAATAACGAATCATTATATTCCAAAAATTAGTTCTAATTATCGGGTTGGTATTTTTTTACTTAAATAATGTTATTTTTTTGAGCTAATATTAAGTGCTCATATTACCAAGTAGTCTGGGTAATATGAGCACTATTGAAACTTTTTTAAAGCATCTGTATTTTTAAGAAAAAATTTCGTATGCCCAAATATCTAAGTGGATCATGAGTAATTATATCTAAAAATTGTTTATTCGCAAAATTTTTAAGCATAATTGTTTTATAAAATATTCAAATTTTTCCTTAAGGTGCTCATGTTACCCTATTCTACCATATATAAAAAGTTTTTAAAAAGGTTTAAATTTTACTTTAATTAAAGATTTAAAAATTTACTCTGAACATAAATCTAAATTAACAATAAAGTAATTTAAAATTGACCAAAACTACAAAAAAAAAAAAAATAAAGTGCCCAATTAAATTTAAGTGTGCCCATTTATCAAAAAAATTGTTTTTAACTAGAACGTCTTTTTTTGTATGACGTAATTAACTTTGTTTATTTTGTATACAGAAATCATATTCTAAATTATTTAAGAACTATTTAAGTTTTTTTTTTTTTGCAAGTACGCAAATTTATTTTAAAAATTTACTTTAAAACGTTTTGCACACAGAAACTAATGCGATGTTGTTTGATTGTAATGGTACTAAGTATTGGTTATCATTGTTATTGGATTAAAATGAGTAAGCAAGAATTAAATTGATAAATTTTAAATGTTTCTTTTTAAAATCATTGTCGGAAGTTGACATTTTAAAATTGATCCTCATTTCAATTTATTCTGGGGCAATTATGAACAGACTTAATCTTTGAAAAAAGAAGCTGGAAGTAGAAAAAAGAAAAGATTTAAAGATAAATATAAAGGAAAATCTATTGTTCGCTCCATAAAGGCATGTATCAGTCCACAGAGGTCTTGCAAGAAAATTTAAATGCAGCCATACTTTAGTAAAGTATTTAGATTTTAAGAATATAAAGCATACAAAAAAAAAAACAAAAAAACTCTTAAGCGATCCTTTGATGGAAAAATCAAAGCCATTTCTCGACTTAAATGGAAACTAATAATTTTCATTAATCTGCTGTCCAATAAAAAGTGATTCCCACCCCACCTCACTACGCCAATGGATTTAAGTGTTTTTTGCCTTTCAACAACTTTCCAGTAGTTTGACATAATTAGAAACAATTAAAAACGAATTAATGACCGTCATTTCCATACTTAATTGGCAGTTGTTGTTTTTTGGACTAATCTTTTGAACGCTAAAAATATTTTGATGAAAACTGAAACCTGTTTAAAAATTTTGATCTAATTTGTAGCAGCATTTTTATAACAAAAGTTTGCTTTGATGTAAAAATATGTCGACAAGGAAAGTAGATAAATATTTTTAAATATATATAGAACAAAGCTAAACCCCCCAGTGGGCACCGGACCAAAAAAGACGTCTTTTGAACGTTCAAAAGACGTCCAAAACGTGTATAAGACTTTAAAAGACGTCTTTTTTGCGTTAGTGTCCACTGGACCCTGACTAATTTCAACAAACTATACTATTTAAAACCAAATAGGTAATAATAAAGCATAAGATTGTTATTAATTGCATTTTTTTAAATGAGTTTCTTAAAATCAGTTTGTTTCAAAATTGGGAAAATTAGAGAAATGTTTTTGGTTTCTTATATATTGATACAAACTCTAATTATTGGTTCTATCAAAGTCAAAATTTTACTAATTAATCATTGACATAATAAGGTGGACAGTAGGATTTGTTTAAACCCCTTCTTCTCAGCCTTCCATCTAAGTATTTGAAAAAAAGAAAGACAAATTCTAAATGCAAAATAGATGAATAAATTACAAAATTAATTTAAGTATATTTAATTTTTTTTTGTAACCAACTGTTTATATTCTCCATATCTAAATCAGATGTTGTACAAACAACCTGATATTGTTGTAGGTGTAGAAATTAGACTTCAGAATTGAGCATCCAACACTTATCATTTTTCATCACTTATCATTCAATTGTAAAAAGTGAACATTGACTTTTTCTCCAGCGATAACTTTGAACCTCATCCTTAACAACAAACAGTGGGGCAGATAGTCCATTTTTGTGCCAAAATTATTTTTTTATTAAATATTACTAAATTAGCTTTAAATAACATATTTAGAGCTTTTTAATATATTTTTGATTAAAAGACATTTTTTTAAAATTGTCTAAACTTTCATAGTATAATTTCTCAGCGTTCAAAAAATATAACCATATAAAATTTGGGGGGATTTAAACTTTATATGGTCATATTTTTTGAAAGCTAAAATATTTTACTATGTAATTTAAAATTTATTGACGAATATAAGTCTAGTTAATTGTTCAAAAAATATTTCATCAACTTGCTGCTCTCACATTTCATGCTCTCACAAAGCATCCTTATTTGACATAAATATAAACATACAAATGTTTGGAGTTTTCTCCATGTCTGGAAG